CTTGCAAACCAAGTTGATGCTACGTTGGGGATGGGGTGGGGACGGGGGTCTGTTAACGCTCGCTTGCACTTGCAAACCAAGTCGATGCTACGTTGGGAATGGGGTGGGGTGGGGTGGGGTGGGGATGGGGTGGGGTCTGTTAACGTTCGCCTGCACTTGCAAACCAAGTTGATGCTAAGTTGGGAATGGGGTGGGGTCTGTTAACGTTCGCTTGCACTTGCAAACCAAGTTGATACTATGTTGGGGATGGGGTGTGGTCGCTTGCACTAGGAAGCCAAGTTGATATTCCCAGTGGTGGTTAAGCAAGGTCTGACCCCTGATAACCCATCATTTAAATGAGAATGAATGCACCAACTGCAGTGAAGCATGGCACCCAATGTATTGACCGCAAATGGTCATCCCTGAAGAAGTTTATCCCGAAAGAGTTGGCATCCAAACGATCCAATGGCGGGTTGAATGCACAGATCGAAGAATATATGTATAGCTTTGTGTGGCGCTGTAATACACAGTCTAAGCACCAAGTGCAGAAGTTGGGTCAGATGGCACAGAAGGAGTGGAACGCGTGAAAAGGAGTGGCACGCCTGAGGGAGTGGAAGTGTGTTAAGGTTTCATGGAAAAAAAGAGAAACGATTAAAGATCCGTTTCTTTACTTCCGGGTCCCCGAACGCACTGTCATTTCACAATGAAGTTGCGATTTGAGAGGCGTTTTGTGGTGTAAAAACACATTCACAATGACATTGACCGAAAAAAGGCATCGCCGTAAAGTGCCAGAGGGGTTGTGAAAAACGACTCGAAGATGCATGTGTTTGCAAGAGTTTTTTTTCCCATCAAGAATAGATTGACATAATTTATCGGTTCTATGTATAATATAGACCCTTTCATGCTGGAACTCGTCGTCCAAAGACTTTGTTTGAGTGTTTGGGTATCTGAGATTAGATGTTCTTGTGCAGAACCTGGTTGTTGACACTAGACTCTTCAAGGTTCAGTTTAGTCTCATGTTCTTTTGGGGTGCAACAGATGGGCATTGGGTTGACCTTTCCCTACAGGTCAAGGACCTCATTTGACTGGATCCGGTCATGCACAACCAGTACTCAAAGAGGTCAAGGACCAGGTTAAACTTGGCCAATGGACTCGTAGGGTTTCTATCCAAATGCTACTGCGGGTCGTGCTGGCACGGGGGAAATCTAGCAGGTTCTTCGGCAACATGACGGGGACCCATAGGGGGAGGAGAAGTCGCGCATCCAGGAAAACACAATCCCCAACTATTGAGTCCTGTGGATCTTAAGAAAGCTTCTGCTACAACCCCCAAGAGTCCTGTCCTGATTTGGGAACACAACTTGAACTTGTCCAATGGCTTCAGTTGAGACCGAATGATCATTCAGATCATTCTGATTTTGCAAGTTTGCCTGGAAACTAGAGGCTCAGGGACCGACCCAAACCCAATCCAGTCCAAACTTCGAAAGTAGACCCCAAACTGTAGGAATCATGACCTGGGCATTGAAAGTCCAAAGTCCAAAGGCTCTAAAAAACCAATCACTACCCAGAAGACATCAGAAAAGCCTTCTCACAAACCTCAATCCTCTTTTCCTCCCAAACCTCCCATACAGACCCCCATGCACACAGAAAACCCCATCGCCGAGGTGGTCACCAGCGCAGATCTTCCAGCCTGCTTGTTGGCCAGCCTGCTGATCCGCTCTCAGGAGAGGGCCAACGGACCGGGGGATCCGACGAGTTCTGATCCGACGAAACGAGTCCGTGGTGATCCGACGAGTCTGGGGTTCCAGTCGAAGTGAGTGATCATTCTAAGCCCATGAGCTATACCGAGTGAGAAGACTCACCGGAGGGTTCTGGTCAGTGATCTGAAAGGATACAGAGGATAGATTGCACGAAGCGTTTGCAGTGCATGCCTACGATGCAGTGTAGCATGGAGGTTGTGTTGATCGTTTGCGACTAAAAGTAAGCTCTAATTTAGTAATGTCAATATGACAGCTGACAGCTTGGTCCTGACTGGTCATAGAGTTTGTTCTCACCCATCTCAATCAGAAGGCAAACATGTGCAGTTCTATTTTGGACGAAACGTTTGGCACGAGGCTTACGGCCATAGAGACAGCTTGTCGGCCCTCGCGATGGTCTTGGCCATGTTCTGCCCTCGGCGTTCGATAAAGCCGATAAAGCCTCGAAACATGCTGCCATACTAATCCCTGTCATAGCTGGATACACTACGTGGCCAACCTGCATCCAGTGTTTCATTGCACCCCCATGCGTGCACGATCGAGCGTGCACGCTCTTTTTTTGGCTGCTTGGGCTGAGGCTTCTGCCAACACTCATGATCCTTGAGCATGGAGATGAAAGCCTAGTGACTGTGGCCACCTATGCGTGCTTTCTGGCCAAGTACCCCGGCAAGAGGATGTTGTTTTCTACAGCGTCTTTCTTTTTGTTTCGCAGCTTGAGATGTGAGACGTGACTTTGACAGGGTGCCTTTTGCAAGAATTGGTGATCAGAATGTTTTGCTGCTCTGACAGGACTCGTAGGGAATGAGGGTGCCTGGATTCTGATCGGAGTCTCTGGGCGCACCCGCAGCCGTTTTCAGGTGCGCCGTGACGGCGTTCTTCACGATTGCATACGCTGTGGACTTAGAGTTCCTTAGGGTCTTTGCAAAGGCCGGCGGCAGAGAAGCTTTGGGTCTTTTGGAGTGCTGTACCCTGTTCGTGAGCCGAGCATCTGTGCGAGAGGTCCGCCAGGACACCGGTGACACTGGTGACACCTCCTCAGCTGTGGTGTTTTCATGTTTGAGGTCTACATCACCGAGATCTTCCCCTCAGCAAGGGGCCCGAGAGTGGGGCCCAGCTCTTGGTGGGATAAAAGAGTGTCAGATTAATGGTTTGATTAGTTTGGATATATTTCAGCCCGTGTTTTGAGAGTCCAAATAGAATCAATTGGACTCAGTAAAGCCTGTTGATCTAACATCAAACCGTAGCGGAGTTGGGAACCCAACCACGTTCTAATATGTTCCAATGTGGGACCATCCAGAAGACATGGGACACTTAGTTGTATATATCATGTTTGGAAGTGTGGCATACTATTCGCTCTACTCGTACTGGTATGAATGAAGACTCGAGTCCAAGAACGATTGGGCTTAGTGATTGCCAGATCCAAAGCTGAAACATAGACATACAGTACACTTCATGTTGAAGAACACGGAGTTTCTACATGACACAGATGACACATGGTGTAGAAATGCCAGTGGCAAACGAAGTCCACCGACACAGGTGCAAATCCAAGACCAAGTTGCGGAAGCAAAATGCGAAAAGGATCGAAGCACACAAGCGAATTGGGGATCGAACGAGTTCGAAACGGCCGCGCGCTTTTGCGCTCATTGAGCCCACCCTCTCCGGATGGTGCGAAGTCATCTCAACCGCATGTTACACAGCGTGTAATTCACACGGGAGGAAAGTGGTAAAAAAAGACTAGTCCGCCGACAATTCGGCGTCGGCGAACCAAGCGTGGATCTCAGCTCGAAGCGTTCCTCCGAGCAATGGATCCCTGACATCCAAAGGGCACCACTGGTCGCCGCAGTAGGCGCAGCAGCGCAAGGACTGGCGGTTGCGGTCCTCCATCTGCTCAACGATGTGGCAACTCGGGTAGTGCCAGCAATCTCCATGGCGAGAGGAGACCACCACAACTCTGTGGGGACAGGTCTCCATGTGCCTGTCCATGGCCGCTTCGGTGCGGCGCATCAGCATCGCCCCATCTTTCACCAGGGCTTTGAGGTCAAAGATCTCAGCCGTGAACCGATGCGTCTCCATCAGGCATAGGTCCAAGGCTTTTCGGGCCTCCCGAGCAGACTTTTGGGATTCCTCACCTTTCAGCTTTTCCTTTTCCAGATCTGCACGGAGACGGGCAGGGACAATGGCCTCGTCCTTTTGAACTCCAGCTTCACTCGAAGCTTTTCCAGGTGTCCAGGGCAGGCACTTGCAAACACAGCAGCTGCATGCCATTACCAAGAGGTGCGTGAGCAGGAAAAAACTCAACCAAAACAACCAACCATCGTCGTTCGCAGGCTCTGAGGTCACAGCGCGAGAGTTATCGCACGTTTCTGCAGCATGGCAGGAGGTGAGGAGCACTGCAAAACAACCAAGCCAAAACAAGAAATTCTTCATGCGACCGGTGTGCACATACTTCTTGCGGCTTTCGACATGGCGGGCTGTGGCGAAGACATACGTGATAGCGAGGGCATTTCCAACAAAGTTGACACTCTCGTGAGGGTCACCTGCCGGGTTCTCTTGGACCTCCTCGGACTCGGGGATGTAGCTTTCTTCATGTTGTTGGTGCCAAACATGCACAGGAGCTTTTGGCACCGAGGTAGTCTCAGCCAAAGCGCTGAGCTTCTCTCCCTTGCTTTTCTTCTTCATTGCCTTGTAGGAGGGGTCCCACGTCAACTTCAGCTTTTGATGCCGAAGGCGAGTTGCAAAGAGTACGCGTGCAGCTTCCTTTGTCAAGCCGTCCGCAATCTGTCGGTCGCTGCTCATCCACTTCAGGACGCCATCGATCTCCTGAAGTCGCTCCTTCATGACTCGGATCTCAAGACTGACCCTTTTGTCAATGACCGAGGAGCTGGCGGATTCACGATGGTAGGCATCATACAGTGCCTTCGCGTCCGTGACCATCACGGGCTTCAAAGTTGACCTGATGTTGAGCAGGTCCTTCAATGCCATGTCCGGCTCGATGAGATGATGCCAGTAGCGGCAAGTGAAATCCACTGCATCGCTGGCCTGACCGCCAGCCTGTGCTTCTGCTCCAAGTGATGACCTGGCAACCCGAGGAGTTTTGAAGCTCCTCCAATCCAGCACGTGATACTGGCCTTCTTCGTCGGAGTGCATGAGGTTGCCATTGATGAGCATCAGGATGTAGCCGCCCTGGGACGATCCATCGTTGCGGGTGGAGAACCCTGCATCAAAGAAGCACAGCAACCGCAGGCTTTCACACTCACCAATGTAGTTGTAGGTGAGGCCTATGTCCTTGTGTTCCTTGGCGAACTTGAGAAGGCGGTTGGTGTCCATGAGTGTTTGGATCGTTCCCTTGTTGACCATGCCGGAGAGCAAGCTGGTGCTACATTGCAAGTGTGGTGATGTTTGAACTGCCGGCCACTGCAGTGACCCCAACAGGCCACGGAGTTGCGTGACTTCACGTTCACGAAGACCATCATTTGGTGACTGTTTCTTATCAACCACAATGGGCGTCACCTTCTCCAGGTACTTGGTCTGGTGGATCTTTCGACCTCCTTCAGGAGTCTTCTCAATCTCGCAACCGCAGTATTCGAGGCTGTCCTGGTTCTCCTTCCATTCCCTGAATGAGAAGTTGGCCTTAAGCTGTTCCACCACTGAACGATATCGTGGGCTATCCATGCATCCAACTCCAAGGAGGTCATCCACATGCATGATGACCATGCCAACCAGCTTTTGTGGCCCCAAGCTTTTGACCTTCGCATGGACCGGGTCTTCGGGATTGTAGTTCACATCGTCGGTCTCATAGATCAGGAAGGCGCATGGGTCCAAGGCATGCTGGCGAAGTCCACCACGACGGAGTCGGTCAACAGCTTCCAGGTACCAGCCGCGTGGTGCATCGATCTGTCCATAACAGGGCTTCAACAAGAGCATTCGAGTCTCTTCATCGGCGCCGAGCAGCGCCAAGGCTTCAGCAGGAAGCTTGACCCAAAGCTTTCGGTCTTGTTCACGACCTTGAAGGAAAGCGGTGCTCACATCAGCCGTCCAAGTTGTCCAGCCCATGGTCGCCCCCAGCGATAGGACAACTGACCTGGAGAGTCGTGTGGTCGTCGGGCTGGATGTTTCGATGCGGCCTGCCAGAGCATCAGGGTCGGCAAACCCTCGAACAATGAGGCGAGCCTTGGCTCGTGGAGTTCCGTCGGGGTTGCGAGACCATTTGAGCAAGATCCGTGATGTCAGTGTCCTGGCTGGATCAGCTTCTTTTGTGGTTTCGAAGACCCAGACATGATGATCGAAGAAGCTTTTCAATTCCTTCACCTTCGCCTCCTTGAACATCGCTCGCTCATGAGGACCGAGCAAGCGTTCATTAACGGCATTCTTCTCCTTCTTGAACTTCTTCATCTTGGCCAGTTTCTGTTCCTTGGCCTGCTGCTTCGCACTGGTGAAGTGCTGATGTTGTTGATGTCCAGTGTACATGGCAAGCTCTTTCCGGGTTTCCCCGTTGATCTGGAAGATTGTTGCTCCTGTCCAAGTGGTAGTGACATCAGGAGGTGGTGCACTATCGTTGCCAGAATCAGTGTGAAGCTTGCTCTTGCCATTGGCTTGATGAATGAGAGTCACCCGGATCCGATCAAGCCTTGCAGTATCAACGGGACAATCTTTTGGAAGATGTTCAATATGGAGGCGACCTCGGCGTGGCACACAATGGTGTCGGATGAGACAGCCGGCTTTGATCTCCCAGTAGTCGGAGTTCCGATCAGTGAGCTGGAGGTAGCCGTGCTCGTCCATGTGCCACCCGACAGGCAAAACCTTCGTGTCGAGGTCGTCCAGGTAGAATGCTTGTCCTTCGAAGGTGTCATCTGCTGAGCTCACGGGTCGTTGAGCCGGATCATATGGTGCAGTTTCTGCCGAGTGACGTGGTCGGAGTGGTGCAAAGCTCATCGTCTCCTGACGGTTGAATCGGAGTCGTCGTTGTTGGAAGGTCTCGGCATCAACTGGCTCATAGAGCGAGGCAGTGTGAGGATCCAGCATCGGTGGTTGTGTTCGCTCAGCATTCGTAGTAGACATAGGTGCCACTGTAGAGTGCGGTGTGGATTGTGCTGCTGGTGGCTCCTCACTAGGTTCAGAGATGGAGAGGAGTTCACTTGGCACTCGTGGCAAATTGTTTGTATCTGCTGTTGCGTGTGGTTCTGTTTCTGCCGCTGCCGTGTCTGCAGCTGCCGGTTCCGCTGCTGCCGCTGTCTGTGAGGCTGCCGGTGATGTTGGTGTGTACTCTTCATCCATTGGAGCCACTGCCGATGATGCTTCAGGTGGAGTTGAGGCAGTCGGTGGAGCGATCGGAGGTTCGCTCTGGGGAGGCTCATGAATCATTAGCCGTGGTCGTCGTCGGGGCGGAGACATTTCATGATCGGATTCCTCCTCCAACTCACCATTGGGATCATCACGGTGTTCATCCTCCTCCGCATCAACAATGTCGTGCTTGTTGAGCTTGTGCAGATCGTAGCATCTGGTCACTCCACGTGATCTCAGCTGCCGAACTGAGTTCAGGGCCTTTTGAGCATCATCGAGCACATGCCCAACACTCTTGACATCGGCACGAACGTGATGAGGTGCACATCTGATGAGCTGAGTTTTGTAGGCCAGCCAGTAAACATGTGGTCGTCGATGTTCCCCTTCTTTTGTGTATTCTTTCATGACCACTTGTGCTGGTCCCAGCCATCGAATCTTCACCAGATCAGGTTGTCGTTGATCTCGCCAAAACCAAACCTGTTGGCCGAGGGCATACTCAGCATTGAGCCCTTTGTATTTTGCACCAAGTGCTCGACGAAGGCGACGGTCAGCATCAGCCTCAACAAGTGCCTTCTGTGCGGCAGATCTTCGGGTGAGCATCGTCTCAAAGGTTTCGTGGCCACCATAGTGCGAGGGCTTGAAACTCGTGGACAGGAGACTGCCACCGAGCTGTGGCTGATAGCCGAGCACCCACTGTGACGGAGAGAAACCAGCAACCATAGGTGCAGCATTCATCTGTGGAACACAGTGGATGAGTGCCTCTCGAATACCGGACTTGCCCTTCACTTTCAGGTCGTCACAGTAGACCTCGACAGCTTTCCGCAGCACTGCATGTCGTCGCTCGACCACAGCCAAGCGTTCGTGAGCTTCTCCAGGAGCCACTACATGCTCAATGCCATGGGATGCTGTCCATTCGTCAAATTGTTGACTGAGCCAAGGGCGACCTTCATCGGTGACCAACTGCTGTGGAGCACCAAAATGTGCAATCCATGATCGTTCCAGAGCCTTGACATAGTCATTGGTCTGTTCGGACTTGAGCAGGTAAGCAGAGACATAGCGAGTGGCCAGGTCAATAATGGTCATGACTGGGTACTTGATGCCATCTTGCCGGATCCAGAAGACATCTGCTTGGAGGACCTGGTTGAACGAAGTGGAGGAAGGCATAGCTGCGGGTGCAGTGCCATTCGGCTTCTTGTACTTGGCACAGGCGGCGCATACATAGGTGCGAGCAGCTTGCAGGATGGATTCGCTTGCTCCTCGTGCAGCCAGGAGTTCAGTCAGCTCGGAAGGTGCCGGGTGACCAAGATTTCGATGAAGTCGTTGGACCACACGGATGGCGTCGTGCTTCGTGGTTGCTCGCAACTGCACCAGCTTGGATGTGACTTCCTTCTGCTCTTCAGAGGCGAAGACATGTTCCCAAACTTGAGGTGTTTCATCCAAGCTCAAGGCGGCAGCCAGAGTGCTAGCCATTGCAGGTTGGTACTCTTCCATGTAGCGAGTGCGAGCACCGAAGCCAGGAGCAGAACCTTCCAAGGCACAGTGTTGATGATCTCCCTGGCATTGCAAAGTCATCGCATCTTGTACTGCCTGTTTCGTAGTGAGCAATGAAGTTCGCTTGCGAACTGGTCGCCACTGACCATCATCATCCAGGCAGGTAGCTCCATAGCGACATTGATCGAAGTCAGCACGTCGACCGGGCAAGGAGCGAAGAGCTTGAGTCTTCCATGACAGAGCCTCTTTTGGTTGCTCCATATGGGCGTGGCGTCCACCATCAACCTGTTTCAGGTAGACCTTGCGGCAGAACTTGAGATGCCGATCATGGTGATGTTGTCTTGCGGCCATGAGGGCCTCTTGTTGTGCTGGCGTGCGTCTTGCCAAGGTCTGCGTACGGCTCCAAAGCTTACATTCAGGTGCCAGCAGCACTTCATCGGGCATTTCTTGGTCCTGCAGATCGAGGAAGGCTTGTTGGTGGTGAAGAAGCTCAAAGTTCCAGCCTGTCTCCGGACCAAACTTGCGAACGGTCATGCCCAATGATTCGGCCACTTCGGAAGTGCGAGCCGTTCCACAATACACTTCCCATAGGACCCGTTGTTTTGCTTGTTCTGGTTGATGAAGTTGACTGGTGACATAGGCAGACATCTCTTGCAGATAGGTCGTCAGCTGCACGTCCATGGTCTTGAGTTCGTGGCGCTTGAGCTGTCTCATGCCTTCGTGGGGCTCATCGTTGGCCTGGTCAAGGCTCACGAAGCCGTGCTCGGAGTGCTCAAAGTCGGCAAGGAGGAAGCCGTCAGTCTGGTCCATGTCAGGTTCAGCAGTCCTCAAAGTGAACTCTGGTCTCTCTGGGTCGTAGTGGATGAAGTCGTGGTCGGAGGTGAGAGACAGCAGATACTCTCCTTGTCGACCAAGGGTGGCTTCAGTCCAGCCAGAGCTCCCAATGCGGATGCGCTTCATGGCGAAGTCCATAGTCATGCCAAGCGACTCAATGATCGGCCTGCCACAGAGCATGGGAGTATTGCCGGGTAGCAGGAAGAGTTGGATGGTGCCATAGCGTCCATCCACAAACACAGGCAAGTGTGCCGACCAGCTGGACCACGATGCAGCGTCACCGCCAAATTGGAATCGGCGTCGGCCTTGTGTCATGCAGATCTTCTCCACTGGGAAACCACACTCTTGTAGGTGTTGGAGGTATCGTCGAAACGGCTGGTATCCCGAGAGGAAGGCACTAGCACCAGGGTCCAACATGACGCAGTCCGGGCGCTCATTGCCAGCGCTGTCTTGGAAGGTCAGCATCGTGATCTCAGGGGCTTCATCAGCAAGAGCCTGAGCCATGCTTTCGGTTGGAGCAGGTCGCTTTTGGCCACTTGACTTTGGTGAGGCCGATTGAGGGCAGTTTGCAGCCCAATGTCCTTGTTGACCGCAGCGTAGGCATGTCATCGCTGCTTTGGCACGACCCTTGGGATCTGACTTTCCAGCACCATGAGGTGGGTACCGGATGGTGTTGCTCCCTTTTCCTTTGTTCTTGCCTCCTTTCCCCTTTCCTTTTCGCCAGGTAGTTGAGCTCGAGGATGATGAGGCGGGTGCAGCTGTCATCGGTTGTTGTTGGTCGGTCAAGGCCACCACCGGAAGGAATCCTCTGGACATTTTGAGGTCGTTGAACCGCTTACGAGCATCTGTGTAGCTTGCAAAAGCTGTGTCAAACTCTTCGGCCATGTGCTCAGGGCTTGTCTCGTTGGAATCTTCAGCAATCCAGGGATCCTCACCATAGTAGCCAGCATCATCATCAAAGGCTGGCTCTTCCTCATAGTCTTCAACTGGCCAATCATCTTCATAATAGCCGGTGTCTTCTGGCCATGGTTCCTCCTCCCAATCCCACTCATCATGTGCAGCATAGGCTCGACCAGACCACTTGCCGAAGCGCTTGTTTCTGTCATGGTTCCACCCGCCAGACTTATAGTCTTGACCGAGGATCAGGTAGAGCGCTTCAATGACGGCCTGTTTCTCCAAAGAGGGAGCCTTCAACATGACAAGTTGTCTTTGCTCTTTGGTGAGCGATGCACGGCGAAGCAAGTGCCATCCTTGGACAGGATCAGGAAGAGAGATCTTGTGCTGTAGGAGCTTGCGGTAGGACTCCTCATAGTCGCCCACATACATCAGCAGGGTTTGTCCAGGTTGGCGCTGCAACAAATTGAAGTAACCTTCAAAATCAGTTGGCAGCTGTACACGCTGATCGTAGGCGTAGTTGCCGTCGAGAATTGCCAGCATCTTCTCAAAGGCGTCGTCCTTCTCGAGTTGCTCCAAACTCCAATCCTCAAAGAGGCGCCATACAGCACCACGAAAGCTGCCGACGACATTCAGCACGCTTTCTTGAGCTCTTTTGGAAATGCTCATCTTCCGGTGATAGAGCTGGATGCGCTGTCGCCATTCTTTGTAGTCAGCTGGCTGTCCCGAGAACAGTGGAACGAAGGAGTCCCGTAAGTCGGCGTAGCTGTTCTCCTCTTTGGATGTCATCGAACTGGAGCCGGGTTGTGTGGCTTGTCCTCTTCCGCGTTGTTGGCCCTTCTTCTGTGACATGCGCCGGAATGGCGAATGCCAAGATCCTCCCCGTAGGGTGTTCCAAATAGAACTCAACAAACAGGATCGGGAAGGAACCCTCAAAGGGAAGGTGACGAAGACCTTGGTCCCAGCGATCAGCTCGAGGTCGTTGTAGCGGAATGCGCGGGAGCCCTCACCCAGACCGGGTTCGGGCTCCGCTACCAATGTAGAAATGCCAGTGGCAAACGAAGTCCACCGACACAGGTGCAAATCCAAGACCAAGTTGCGGAAGCAAAATGCGAAAAGGATCGAAGCACACAAGCGAATTGGGGATCGAACGAGTTCGAAACGGCCGCGCGCTTTTGCGCTCATTGAGCCCACCCTCTCCGGATGGTGCGAAGTCATCTCAACCGCATGTTACACAGCGTGTAATTCACACATGGTAAATTAGCTCATGCATGTGTTCTAAATAACTGTTTTCTAATGTTTTCTATATTCAACATGCGGCGTGGACCTGTCGTGCGGACTCATACGGCCACATGTGACCCGTCTACCCGGGCCGTGCGATTAGCTGGACTCGTGTCCGGCTGTCCGATCAAAAGCCTATCGTTCTTTGGAGAATGTAAGAATAGATACACGCAGAAGTCGGGGGGGGCTGGTCCTTCGTCCAGGTGCTTCGGTGGGTTCGTTCGATCAGCTGACCTCTCGAGAGCCGTCGTCCCTGTACAAAAAAAAGGAAATAGAAGTATATACTAGGCTGAAATGACAAAGGACTTGTGAAAACTACCTCCAAATTACGGCGGCTAAGTCATGAAGGTTTAGCCTACCCCCCACAAGTATTTATGTCATGAAGCAAAAGCTTGGAAAAACATCAAAATCAGAGATGCCAGAGGTTGTCACCAAAGATCCTAAAAACAGTTGATTTTATATTGACAAGCATCATGACATACGACTTTGGTATCTAAACAATGAATAAACCATCGAGAGATAGGAATTTGAGAGCAAAAACGCACAAAGGCAGACTTAAAGCACAAGATGTTCCTATGACATGTGGACTTTCATTAGCTCTAGTCTTCCAGGAGCATGCCCCCCACCACCCCCCCCCCAAAAAAAAAATCAGGACCAGGTCAACAAGGCCTATGTCATGAGTGTGTGCCAATGAAATTGCCCTGTATAACATTTGTACATGACTTAGGACTTGCCCTGGGAAAGTTGTATGTCATTTCGACCCAATTGGCCTAAGTCATCTCACCCTAGTATAATATATTTGATCTATAGATGTATAATATTATGCTCCTTTAATGTTCAATTAATCAATTATTTTTGTCGGGTATCTTTTTCTGTCTGAACTGAGGCATGCAGATGTACCGCAGCATCAGCTTGCATGGCCGGAGGCACGCCTCGTCCGAACCGAACAGCGAGAAAACCCTCGGTCCGATCACCGCGATCTTTTGGTCAAAGGCGATAAAGGGAAGTTGTGAAAGATGCTCCACCATAGACAACTCTGTAGTGAGTATAGACAAAGTCTGCTGTCTCACTTTGCAATATACAAGAACTGTAGTTTGTCCAGTGTACCATGACGATGCGGAATGCTTGCCCTGATAGTCGTGGGAACGTCCACTGACAGGCCGCATTGGGTCTGTTCGAAGCCCAGATCCAGCTCCTGTTCTCTTTTCCATTCCTAGTGTTTATCCTGTCAGTCTGGTTGTTTTCTCTACCAAACAAGCTTTCATCCAGGATGTATCTTTTTGGGGTGAGTGCTCCATGAAGTCTGCACGGAGAAAGCAAAGACACCCTTTCGGGTGGTGATCGGAGTTGGCGCTTGCATCATGGAGGTCCAAGGGTTTAAACCGCAAATTGCCAGAAGCAGTCCAAGATAGATACTCCAAGAGTTTAAAGCCCTAAGGGCAGGGCTGTGTGTTGGCTGTGTTTCTGATCGACAGAGCCCCAATGGCCGCTGCAACGGCCGCCGGGCTCTTTCCAGGAAGGACGCCATGGCATTGCCTTCTTCTTCTTCTTCTTCACAGCTTTGTGGCGGACGCTTCAATCTGCCTAGCTGAGCACTCTGCCTGTACCCGATGGCCATTCTGCCTGCCGTCCTCCCTATTCAGAACAGAGGCACTGACCCAGTGCAGCTCGCATGGGGGGTAGCCGAGTGTGAAGTAAACACAGCAAAGCAAAACAAAAACACCCAAAAGGCACCACACCACTGAACCGCGGGTACCCCCAAATGACTGGGTGTTTGATGACCCAAAATGGGTCATGTGATCTCACAAACCTTGTGGACATGACTGGATGCAACCAGTGTTTGCTTTCCCAACGAGAATCGCATGCTTGTCCACTGAAGAGACTCCAGTTGCACCATGTTGCACCAGCATCCTTGACTGGCCCCATTTCGGCGTCTTTCGAAATTAGAGGAGGCTTTGACGAATGTCATCATGCCTTCTATTTTGAAGTGGGGGAAATTGCAGTTGGAGCCTGACAAAACTGCAGCATCTGAAAAGCACAACCATAACTCCAACCACGATGCATCGTGGAGCCGGACATTTACGCTCACGTCGCCATTGAGCCATGGTGCGCTATTGATGGGAATTGTAAAGACATTCCATTTCAGAGGACTCTCTCTATTGCCAGATGGGCACTTTGGAGGAGGGCTCGGCTCAAACCCTCTCTTGGTTTACAGTCAGGCATTTGGACTGTTCATCTCTTATTACAAGGCACATGCCAGTGACTGCGCTCCTGTTTCTTCGCGCTTTGCCCCTGGTAACGGCGTAGTGTTCTCCTTCCTCAGCCCGAAAGACCGCTTTCGGTGGTTGTTTTGTTCCCAAATTATCACGGCGAGCCACTACGTCAGTCCCACCATGTCCCACCCCACCTACAACCGAGAGAAGCTCGGTGCTTTGACTAAGCCTGTAAACTTGAGCAGCAACTGTGAGTGTGACAAAACCAGTGAAAAAACATCTTGGAAGCCCATGAAGAATCCGTGATAGAAAGGGCCTGAAAGTTCGGAGATGAAACGAATCCCTTTCCCGAACGCATCAGTCTGACCTGCCCTTTAGACTTATCAAACTCTACTCACACCCAAGGGCGGGCCACCAGTGAATTGGGCTTTGCACATCTCTGCGCCCTCCGAGATCCTGGCACCCTTGGCCTTTGAACTCTTGGCACAGAAGGAGTGGAGACCTGAGCGTCTCAGGCCGCGGAAGAAGCTTCGGTGCGGAGTTTAGAGTAGAGCATCCTAACTTGGCTTTGAGCATCTGTGGTAACATAGTAACAAGGGCATTAGTATACTAGTTACTAGTAACAAAAAGCTGCTAGTAACAAGGCACCTTACTAGTAGTATTCAATTTTTCAAAGGATCGTGGAAGGAGCCATAGGTCCAGAATCATTTTGGATCCCTTTTCGGATCCCTTTTGAACCCATGTACTTAGGAGATCTCACCAAAAATAGTTGTCTCAGTCTCAGGTCCCACATGCTCTTCTGGCTCTTGAGCTCTATCCTATGCGTCTTCGCAGTGGCAGTGATCAAGTCACTCAGCTGGGACAGTTCCTATTTTGCTCGACAAAGCGGACGCTCATCCTGGCTCATTCTACTTTCGAGAACAGGGAACCAACTGGACTGGCAATGGAAAAGTAATGAAAAGATATGAAAAGTATAATTCCCCAAGTTTTCCCAGAGGATCAATCTATCTATTTCTTGAGAGCCATGCTCATTACGACAGTTTGGGGTGTTTAAATCGCCATTCGCCTGCTTGGCTCAGTTCAGTCGTGCTCAGGCGTTGCCTGACCTTCGAGCTCAAGGGTGAGCCATTGGAGGCGCTTCGAACCGGCGTTGCCGGGAGGAGAATTCGTGGCCGAACGGGTCGATCACGCTTACAATGTGCTTGCGTTTGCATGCTGTGCATGCTTGTAGATGTGAAGGCATGCTTGTTGTCCAAAGAAATGTGGATGTTACATCCTTTGACTCTTTGACCTTGTTCACATCTCACGACCCAGGATGTTCCGTGGGCCAGCGCCCCTCCTCGCGAATCAGCCGATCTCGGAATCGACCCAGGATGTGGTGCTGAAGCGCGGTGACCTACGCGTGAAGAGGCGCAAAACACAGGGGAGGGACGGATGGATGGGAGGGACAGGTTCCAAAGCTGGTAGAACAGAATCATACAGAATCAGTATGACATGTTTCAATTGTGTCATATTCTTTATATTAGTGCCTGTGACAGTTAATATGGATGTTCAGATGGTACGATTCAGATTCAAAGTCCAAAAGCAAGCTGGTTCCAAACCACCTGCTCCCTCACCGAAACACTCATCAGGTCCCCAGGACCTGATCCCTTCCCATCAAGGTGAATCTATGCCAACTTGTTTTGACCGCGTCCTTGTTGAATGCCACTCTTCGCCGAACCTTTTCGCTACAACCAGTATGACCTATCCGAACCACCATCTCTCCCAGCATCCACTGGACCTGCAGAGCTTCACTGGACTTGCGGAGCTTGGGTTGTCTCATCGCGAGATCCGGTTCAGATTCCATGAGTTTGGAGACACGCCTGGGAGAAGAGTGAAGGATTGGATGCATTCAGAGGCCCACCAACTTACAAGGCCTCTTGGTCCTTGGTATCTTTTTGATCCGGAGTCTGGCCGTTCTTTTCGTCCCCAGAAGAGACCTGTTGAGGCCATCACTGTTGACTCCGAGCTCAGAGAAGCGATTGCCTGGTGCCTCACAGCGTCGCACGCAGACCGTCGCTGTTTCGTCTCGCCACGGCGCGCGAGACGAAACGGCGTGGCCCGCGTGCTCTCGACGGTGGCCGGGGGGGTTTTCGCCCAGGAACACGGTTTCTTCTTCCAGCGTTTTTGGGACATGGATGGACATGGGTATATCTATAATGTATACTGTATACTCGAATGTTGTGCGGAGGGAGATTCACTTTTCCACTTGGGGTTCTCTTTGCCAATGGACCATGCCGAGGTACTGGAAGCAGATTGACCCAATACGACAATTGGATGGATTTCCTCGAACCGCAAGTCGACACCAGAGGGAGTTCAATGGTCCAGTACAACGAAGGGGAACAAACACTCACAAAGTAAAATGCCTGGAACTTGAATCTTCGTGAAATATAGCTGCCAACAGCCAACAGCCAAGCTCAAAGAAGCTCTCCCCACAGCGGCCAAAGCCAAACTCAACCAGAACTGGCTGATGCATCATGTTGACTATATTATATTGATTAGTCTTGAACAAGTACCTGCATGGTCAAACATCTTCAATATATGGGGGAGTTTAGCAAGCAACCGTCAGTCAACATTGCTGCCCAATGTCACCCTCACCAATCATTGTTGGTCGAACACCCAAGAACACACACACACACACAGACACGCCGAGGCATCGCAGGTACACGTCCTCAGCACAGGAGGGGCGGCGATTTTCAGCAACGGATGCATTGAGCACTGCATTGAGCAATGTGAGGTTGGAAGTGGGTGTCAGTTTTCTCCAATGTCCATAATAATCGCGTAACCGTATAATGATGTATAATTCACTTTAAATAGAAAAAGGAAGATTTGACTAACAGAATGAACTTATTATTGAATGGTCACATAAAATCTCAAAAGAAGTGGATTCATATCTCCAAGTTTGCAGACATGCGAAACTACTGGAATTACTGGAGCATTTTTGTTTCTTCAGTCAGTCACGACAAGTCACAGAAGCAATCCAGTGAGTACACCAACAAGTAAAACTGTCGGGAGATCTGGCAGGAAATTCCATGGAAGCAAGAAGCTGCGGCGATGAGTGTGTAGATCCCCTTTGGGCCGAAGCGAAGCCCAGCGCAAAATGGAAGACGAACGAGACCAAAAGGGCGGGGTCTTGGAGTCTTGGAGGGTCCAGGTGGGGGCGTCCCCTGCGCAAAGCACGTGCTGAGGAAAACGCAGGGGGAAGACCTGTCTCATGACCATAACTCAAGTTGTTTAATGTTGTTATTTAAAGCTTGCATTGCAGCCAGTGTTTGTTTTATCGCTGGCGACTATATGAGTGGTCGCAGAATTGATCAGTCTGAACAACAGATATTGATACCTAGAATCCATTTGACCACTCTTTTGATAGTAAAAGGCCATACTAGGTTGGCACTCTGAAACAGGTGTCACTCAGGTTCCCACCAGTGCTACCTTGAATGGTACAAAGGCAAGGCTGGAGAGGTTTGTTAGACTTCCAGATGAAGTGCCCCAAGTCAAGGTTGGGGTCTGGATTTCTCCACCGTGTCTACTGGGTCTGGAAATGCCATAGATCAACCGGAACGTCAACTGTATTCTGCCATCACGGGAGGTTGTATAAAAAAGCTTTCTCTGTTGTACTTTAGCCTGTTCTTTTCTTTTCTACGCTACACAATCAGAGGATTTTTTGGGTCTCCAAGCTTGTCCAGGTCTCCAAGGGTATGCCGACGCCGTGTCATCTCAGCAGTTCTACGGCCAAGCGGTTCCGGTGGTCCAACGCTGTGCAGCTTCGCTGCGAAGCAAGGCAGGTGCCGGCACGCAGCGAGAAAGACACAGAGACGAGTCACCCCAGTTGGGAGTAGCACTTGGGCAGACTCGCGTTGGTGAGATTTCCTGACCCAGAGGAGTGGGTGATTATATCCTTTTCAGTATCCTTTTCATGGTTCAAACAAGTTGAATGGATCTGATACAGGACTCCATCTGCTAGCTGGGTGCTTTGGATCAGACAGCAGCGTGCTCGTGCGACGATAGGGTGGCACTATTGCAAGACACAGCCCATGCCATGACTGGCCTCTGCAGGGATGGGCGACAGGAGGCATACCATCTTGCTGGTACAGCCACGATCTAAGGAGTTTTGTGTTTGCCAAAATGGTCAGACGAGACACAGCCAAAACGATGCGAGTCACACTGAGGTTGTAGAAAGAGTCTGAGTGTCGCCAACTGATATTCAGATGATCATACCGTCTACACTTGCTGAGGTTCGATGACTCCAAAGAAGCCAAGACTTATATGGATTATCCCGGAATTCGGGAGGCTAGCGGCCAGTGGACATGTGCAAAGCCTTCCCTTTTCTGGAATGAATGCGGTCGAAAGGTGCTTGCTCCCACCCTCCATCTCGTGGGGTTTTGTAGGAAACATGTGGAACGACAAAACGTGGGTAGCAGTTGGACTAGTAACTAGCTCCTCTGCTTCATCTCAGAGGTCTATTGATTAGATAGACATTGTGACATGGCTGACAGTCCATTTCTCGCCTTCAATGCCGGATGGTTGTCCAGCAAAGCTGTTTGTTTCATGAGTCGCAATCTGTTTGGTTGTCCTGCCAGCCTTCCCTGAGGCCATGGATGGAGTGTGCCAACTTTATGAGCAAAGCCTCAAGGACAGATACTTATACAACTTATATATTATACATATTAAATATATATATATATATATATATATGGACTTGCCCGCGAGAGACTTGGCGCTTTCGTTCGGAGAACGGGTGTGGCTTTCTAGGTTTTTGAAGACATGAGTATTATATGAGCAGGACTTCCAGTGGAGTGTCCATATTTGTCCCACTTGATGAATTTTTTGATACAATTGGATATTAGCAAACGAAAAACTGCAGAGTTAGTTGATCAGATGTTGCAGATGCTCTGGAAGGCTGATCCGTGCAAAACTTTTTCCAAATTTGTGTACTACGCTTTCTGAATTGAACCCGTTTTCTGTTTGGCATTCTGCATGAAGCTTTCCAGGCTATGAATCCTGGTTTGCGGAGCACGACCTATGATGTGCAAGACCTCTTTAGTTTCTTGGAAGCCAGGAACGCCACTTTGCGGCTGACAAACTCAAGGGTTGCCACGCGTTTCCAAGATTCCATCATAGGCAGAGGGCAGAGGCACGCCTTTTCTGGGTTTAGCGGAGGCACTGCAAGCATCTCTTGGGTGTGCTCCAGCCACATGGCTGCTCAGCACTCTTTTCAGAACTTGACTGAACGGCTAGAGGCAGACCATGAGCGCAGTCTGGGCATGAGAAGAGAAGAATCCGACTGGCTGGAAAACCTAGAAAAGAAGGGCTTCTGTCACCTGTCAAATGTCCCTTCCAGCGTCTTTTGTAGGTTTCCTTGCGTATATTCGCGTCGCTTCGCGACGGCAACCGCCCGCACGGAAGGGTTGGGCTCAAACTACATACCTTGTTAGCACATGGGGGCTGTTGGCCCAATTTTTCCTCCAAAAGCCTATGTTTTTCTACGCTTTTGAGCGCAGCCCAAAATTCGTGCTGGAACATTGTCTGAAACTGGCAACTGCTGCACATAGGTTCCATTTGGCCTGGCCCAACATAGCCTAAGATAGCCTAAGATGTGCTTAACATAAGCTGGAGGTGGCAGCCCAACATAGGTCCCATTTCAGCCAAATTAGCCCAAGAAGTCCATATCTCAAACGTTTGTCTTCCAGATAGCGACTTTGGCGTCCGAAACATTGACTCTAACATGGCGCCAAAATGGACCTAACATCGTCCAATATAGGCCTGATTTATGGTTCTCTTGGCTCAAGATAGGCCTAAGAATAGGCTCAATAGGCTCAACATAGGCCCGACATAGGCCCAAGATAGGCCCAATGTAGCCTAACATGTGCCAAACTGGATCCAACATATCCCAATATAGGCTCCAGCAGTGGCCCCGTTTTTGTTCTAGAACCCTCTGTTTTTCCACGTTTTGAACATGACCAAAAATTTGGCAAGTTGCTGAACATAGGTCCCACCTTGGCCAAACATAGGCCTAACATAGGCCCAACATACAGCCAAGATCGGTCCAGCATGCCCCAACATGCCCCAACATGGGGCCAAAATGAACCTATGTTAGGCTACGTTGGGCCTATCTTGGGCCTATGTCGGGCCTATGTTGAGCCTATTGAGCCTATTCTTAGGCCTATCTTGAGCCAAGAGAACCATGTTTAGCCAAATCAGGCCTACATTGGACGATGTTAGGTCCATTTTGGCCCCATGTTGGGGCATGTTGGGCCATGCTCCTATGTTGGTTGGGCCTATGTTTGACCAAGGTGGGACCTATGTTCAGCAACTTGCCAAATTTTGGCTCATGTTCACAAACGTGTAAAACACAGGGTTCTAGAGCAAAAATGGGGCCACTCCCCCCTATGTTGGACCCTATGGGGCTATGTGTTAGGTCCATTTTGGCATATGTTGAGCCATGTTGGGCCTATCTTGGGCCTATGTTGCGCCTATGTTTAGCCAAGAGCGCTATGTTATGCCAAATCGGGCCTATGTTGAGCTCATGTTAGGTTGATTTTGGCCCCATGTTGGGCAGTGTTGAGCAACTTGCCGATATTCAAAACGTGGAAAAGCACATGGTTTTAAAGCAAAAATGGGGCCACCCCCCTGCATGTGACGCCCAATCGAGCCTATGTTGGGCCTATGTTAGGCCTATGTTTGGCCAAGATGGGACCTATGTTCGGCGATTGGACCATATCAAAAAACGTTGAAAAACACAGGATTCTAGAACAAAAATGCCCCCCCCCCTAGCTAAAGCTATTGAGCCAATCAATGCTTGCCTTTGCCGCATGCCACAGAAAAAAGCGCCTCGGCACCTTCGGTGCGGGCGGATTTCAACCCTCACATCTGTGCCATGGCACAATCAAGAACCACCCACCGGTCCTGGATTCCTTTTGTGATCTCCCGCCACTTGAGGCTTTGTTGATGCAGTGAAGGACATGAGCTGTCTCGTCTATAACCCCAGATCGTCGCTTGGCAGAAGCGGGTCGTGTGGGGTCCAGGGTGCATTGGTTTTTTCGATCGCCGAAGCCCCACGGGTGACTGAGGCCTAAAAACTCGTGGTCAAATTACCTTATGTGGGGCGCTACAGGGTATTGATTTAGGTCATTTTGAGGTGTATTTTCTACTGTTCCCCACACCTGCCGGGCGCAAAGATTCATCATTAACCCTAAGGAGTGCCTATGTTCCGCACAACAAGGACTGGATCAAGGCCTGTGAGCTGGAACTTTGATGTTTTTTTGATGCAAGAGGTATTGCTCCAGATCTTCCGGCAAATCTTCCGGATATGCTATTCCAGATCTTCCAAGGAATCTCAACCCGTGGACCAGATGCTGTACCACCATGTACCACCTGAGAACCTTGGACGCCTGAGATCCAGGGAAGGTCTAAATGTTTGTGTATCCACTCTCCTGACCTGAAAAATGTCCCAACTTTTATGCATTTGATCTGATCTTTTCATCACATTTCATCACCCACGGGGTCGATGTCGCTTCATCGCCAGGTCGAGGTCTTCAACCATCTGAAATCGCAAGTGAGATCATAAGTGGCCCACGTCCGATCCTGCTGAAATCGCGGGAGATGGACCCCGAGCGGTCTCAGACGTGCAGACATGCATGGTGGGCTTCGATCAGACGGCTATCCGGGTGGGAAGAGCTGCTATCGTTGGTTGTTTTATCATTGTTGAATCGTTGTCCTAGCAATCCGCAAGAACAGCAGTTGTAAAAGTAGTGTGAAAGCCATGGCAGATATTGCGATTGCTTCCCCCAAATTCAACCACAATGGTGTTCACACCTTTGAGCAATCAACAGATTGAAGACATGCGCAGCTCTTGAGTAGCGTGTTCAAAGACGCCTACATGGACAGGTCAGAGTGTTGCTGCTTTGTCCCAGTTAACGCGCGTGGGCACCGCACTGCGCGGTTTGTGCCCTGAGGGCCTCGAAATCAGGCTTATCGAAAGTAAAAGCTGCTGGTCGCAATCACTCACACGAGCTTGTTGCGAAATCCAATTGGCTGGAACCTGTGAAACAAGGAGGGGACGAGAGGTTTTGCTCACTTATTGGCCTTGTTGGGACCACAGGACTTTCGGGGTAAGATAC